TGCAGCTGGCTATAGGGATATAGCTAGGTGCTTCTCTGGTTTCCCCCCTCCCACTCTCCATCAGCCACAGAATTGCTCCTGGAGGGGAATATCACAGAAAATGGTGAATACTGTGGGTAGTGGACATGGGAACTGTAATGGAGCTTTATAGGTGGAACTATGTTGGAAAATGTAGGATCTGGGATGGGAAAGGGGAACTCAGTCGCCACAAGGCCACCGGTAAAAGTGTACCTTAAAAGTGTAAGGTATTAATTGCTTCTTCGAAGAAGGACTGAATCTCTTCCTTTTGTGGGTGGCTTCAAATAGGCTGGCCCATACAAGTTTCTGGGACTACAGGGTGCACTCTAAGAAGCAGAGTGTGGCATAGAAAAGGCATGGCATTGTCATAGATAAGACATTGTCCTTTCCTCCCACATGCATGAGCTCCGCTCCTTTCCTCCACATGCATGAGCTCAGTGGGGATCCATTCCAGACCCCCCGCAAAAACAGAGATTCGCAAATATTCAAGCCCCGTAGGTCTGAATGGGGCGTGCGCCTGCAGGGACGCATCATTGATTTAAACGGAGGTCACCCCTCTGTGAATATGCAAAACTGTGGTCTTTAAGTCCGCAACAATGGAGGGGCGACTGTATACATACACATAAGTGTGCCTTATGCACATGTATGTCTATTTTTGGATGGACATCAAAAGATGCTATTCTGTAGCACACTCTGCTATGTGCAAAACTCACCCCTGCCTGCAGCTGACAAGCCCTAGTGTGTGTGTGTGTGTGTGTGTGTGTGGGTGCTTCTTACTGGTGTGGAGGAGAGAGAGCCAGGAAGCAACTCCCCCTTCCTTACCCCTCTGAGCCAAAGGCCAGCTCCCCAGGATTTGACAGCTGCAGGGTGGCAGGTTTTAGACATGATGCAAAGGGCTAGAGAATAGCCTTTTGTGCCCTGTCAAAAAAGAGACATATATGGCAAGGTAAACGGCCAGTTGCATGGGAAGACCATTATACGCCCCCTGCTTGATGTCAGGGCTTGGGCCAGGTGCCCAGGTGCTGTTATACTGCATCTCCCTTGCTGCCTCAGCTCTACCAAGGGCTGAAAGGACTAGCATTCCAGCACGTTCAGGACCACAAGTTTCCCCCCTCCCCAAAATGAGTGGTTGAGTTCTTCAATGTGCTACACACACACACACACATGGATTTCTGCTACCACAATGGTGTTTTACCTTAAACCTTTTTATGCTACACTTGTGTAAAGTTGGGGCATTGGGACTGGGAATGTGCCTGTATCATTGCTCCCAGCCTCTATACATTCATCTGAAGGTCTAAGTTGTTAGCCCTAACCATACCTACACCAACCCTTCCTCTTTGATATCAGAGTTGCTATTAACACAGCTTCTATGATCCTAATGTGGACACCATTATGTAAAAGTGAGCAGGTCATGTTGGCTAGCTTAGGAGTTTCCAAGAGGATTTATTTTCCAGACATATCAGAGGAAGTGAGGAAGAGCCTAGCTTTGAGTCAATAGGATGGCTCTGGTCACAGTAAACAACTCCATCTACCTCACAGTTTAAGCTGTCCTGCTGCAGGAATACACCCATTACACCTTTGGAAGACCCAACTTCAAAGTGTCACTTATGCATATTAAAGATTTGGACCATTTGGGCACACCAACTCTCTGGACATTGCCTCAGGACACACATTTCCTATACATTAGGGGACCTTTCCTTTGTTTAGTTGGATTAGCTTGGTTTGTAGGCAGAAGTGCTGCCAGTTTTCACTTTGTTAGACCCCCTTTCGCTCATCAAACTCCAGTGGCCTTGGGAGCAACTGAGTTCCCCTTTCCCATCCTGGAACATCATCAAAAGGAGCAGTATCCAAACAGGTGTCGTATCTCCATTAGAAGGCCTTATTCTGGTCTAGCCTAACACCTTTGTTTCTCAGTTCTTGTTTGCTTGTGTGAGTGATTGTTAAGTGTTGGGTTTTTCCTTTAAAATAAAATACAATTCATTGAGGATTTGCCTCTGCAGTTCTTCATGTTTCCAACGTTGGTATACACAGGAATGATCCTAGGGCTGCGTAACCCAACCAGTAATTCGAGCTAATAGTTAAATTCCCCAAGAGAGAATTAGTTTTAAGGCAGAGTTCCCATCCTGGTTACAAAATCATAGAATTATAGTTGGAAGAAACCTCAAGGGCCATCCTGCTATGCAGGAAACACAATCAAAGCACCCCTGGCAGATGGTCATCCAGGCTCTGTTAAAAAACCTCCAAAGGAGACGACGACTCCACCCTCTGAGGGAACATGTTCCACTGTCAAAAGACTCTTACTGTCAGGAAGTTCTTCCTAATGTTGAGGTGGAATCCCTTTTCCTGTAATTTGCATCCACTGCTCCGTGTCCTAGTCTCTTGAGCAGCAAAAAACAAGCTTGCTCTATCTTTAACATGACATCCCTCCAAATATTTAAACAGGGCTATCATATCACCTCTTAA